ATTGGAATTTTTACTCCGACATCACAGCCTTTTAAAACAGCTGTCTCAATAGGCATTATTATTCTGATTAACGTTTAGACAGCACAAATCATAGTGATGCCCTTGGTGTCCCACAGGTTTTATCATAATCATCCCCAGTCCCCAATGCATCAGCTAGTCCTCAGGGGGCAGAATTTTAGACCCTTGCAGGGGCTGAGGGTCATTTCTTTTCTCTAGTGCCAATGTATTGGCTACTTCTGAGGGTGCCTGCTGGGAGTGTGATGGAGCAGGGTTCTGCTGTTACAGAAGCATGGTGGAAGCAGCTGGAACCAGCCAGGTGCTTTCTGAGCATCTCTGATCCTCCAGGGAATTCAAAAGCAGGAAGGGTTAAAAAGCAAGGTGACATGCTGGGCATCCATTCTGGCTTCACTCTCGCTCTGTTTCCTGTCCATGTGAGAATTTAATTTTTTTTTTTTAAATAATTTAATTTGATTTAATTTAAATCATTCAGTCATAGAATTATAGAATCACAGAATGGTTTGGGTTGGAAGGGGCCTTAAAGCTCATCCAGTTCCAGCCCCTGCCATGGGCAGGGACACCTTCCACTAGAGCAGGTTGCTCCAAGCCCCTGTGTCCAACCGGGCCTTGAACACTGCCAGGGATGGGGCAGCCACAGCTCCTCTGGGCAACCTGTGCCAGCGCCTCAGCACCCTTACAGGGAAGAACTTCTGCCTTATATCCAAGCTAAATCTCCCCTCTGTCAGGTTAAAGCCTTTCCCCTTGTCCTGTCCCTACAGGCTTTTGTCCAAAGCCCCTCTCCAGACTTTTTGTCATCCCCTTTTAGGCACTGGAGCTACTCTAAGGTCTCCCCAGAGCCCTCTCTTCTCCAGGCTGAAGAAGCCCAGCTCTTTCAACCTGTCTCCACAGGAGAGGTGCTTCAGCTCTTGGAGCATCTCCATAGCCTTCTCTGACTCGTTCCAACAGGTCTACATCCTTCTGACATCAGTAGCTCCAGAGATGGACACAGGACTGCAGGTCTGCTCTCCCAAGAGCAGGGATGACCTGGTCATGCTCCTTTTGATGCAGCCCAGGATGCAGTTGGCTTTCTGGGCTCCGAGCGCACACTGCATAGTCATGTACAGCTTTTTATCAACAAACACTTCCAAGTCCTTCTCCTCAGGGCTGCTCTCAATACATTCTGCACCCAGCGTGTAGTTGTGTTTGGGATTGTCCTGACCCATGTGCAGGACCTTGCACTTGGGCTTCTTGAACTTCATGAGGCTTGCACTGACCCACCTCTCAAGCCTGTCCAGATCCCTCTGGATGGCATCCCTTCCTTCCAAGTTGTGACTCCGCCACACAGCTTGGTGTGTCCACCTGCACTCCAAGCCATTGACCACAATGCTCTGGATCCAACCATTCAGACAATCCACTGTGTAGTTCACTGGAATCTATGTCTCTCCAGTTTAGAGACAAGGATTTTGTGCAGGACATTGTGTGAATTAAGTATTGCAGTGGCAGTTCGGGTGCCCAAACCCAGCAGTTTGCAGGACAGCACAGTTTCAGGGCAGCAGCCAGACCCAGGGCTGGGAAAGGTTTCCCTCACAACCCATGCCAGGTGGTATGGAGCCAGGTCCAAGCCAGAGGCACCAAGACAGTCTCAAATCATGGGAGTCACACAGGTCGTCATACAGCCCAGGAGCATCTGCAGAGCTGGCACAAGGGTTCCTACTGCCCAGTCAGCTGAGGTGGACATGGTCTGTCCTCTGTGTTATTGATCCTATTTGAGCCATGGGGAAACTGAGGCACAGGGAAGGGCAGCAACTTGCCCACAGGGACAACAAAGCAGCCCAGAGGATTACTGCCTTCCAGCCCAAGCATATAGCCCAGAGGGAGCAGACAGGCTGCCATGAGTTATAGACAATTGTGAGCAAAATAAGCAAGGGATTAAACACCAAAAGCAAACAGGCTGCAAATGCACTTTTGTTTTTTATCTGTCACATTTTGTTTTGCAGGGATAATTTATGAGGACTTCTTATTGCAATTGAGAGTGGGGAGCAGCAGCTGGTTCATCCCAGCTCCAGTTGTACCCTGCAGGCTTAATCCAGCTTGGGTGCACTGGAGCGGTTGGTTTGGCTTGGAGCTGAGCAAAGGAGCCTGAGGGCACTGGGCATGCTGAAGACCTACTAATTGCTTTCTCATTAGCATCTAATTAGAATATGTCCACCCCCTTTACTCTCCCAAGGGCTTTGCCAGGAGTCACCCTGTGCCCAGGCAAAGCTTGGGGGGTGAGTTTCCACCCTGGATCCGCGCTGGCATTGCCATGTCTCACTGCTCCCAGGTCTTTGTTACGGACTCCTCAGCATCACTGAAGATAGTTAACAAACACGTACAGTTTCCTTCTCTGGAACATCAGCATGAAGAGGATTCCCCTTCCCAGTGGCCACTGGGCAGGCGCAGATGTTTGTGAGCCCTCACAGCTGGCTCCAGCAGCAGGGGGTATCAGGCAAAGCTGGGATGTCTGATACTGCCCATGCCAGGATTCAACTGGATTTAGCAATGATGTTGGGTCCTGCAAGGGCTCCTGCCTTCTCCCAGCATCTTTCCTACTGGGGGATAACCTTCTTTAGTGTTCAAGCATGACAGCTATGCAGCCCCCTGCCCTCCTATCTGTACCTGCTTCCCTCCCTCCCCTGGGTTTTAGGTGAATCCAGCAGGAATCCAGACCTTTCTGGAATTTCTCTTGCTTTAAACAGAGACCCTAGCCCCACAGTGGGGTCCCATGTAGGAGAGAGGCTGAAAATCACATGCAATAGCAGGTCTCCATCACTGAGAGCCAAGCCTTCCCAACGTTGGGCATGCAGAAAATTTAGGGGGAGCTGAGGGAATCCACTGCTCTGTGACCACATGGACGCTGCAGCGTGATGGTATTTCACGATCCAAACAATAAACAAATTAAATTCCACCCATCCTAAAGCCCATGCGGAGCCCGTGGCTCTCTGCTGCTGGCAGGCAGCATCCAGGCATCCCACTGTGTCCACCAGGGACCAGCAGCCCTCCCACGAAACATGGTCCCGAGAGCTCTGAAAATGCCTTCAGGGAGGTCTCAGTGACCATCAGCAGAGGCAAAAAACAGCAGCTGGCTGAGGCATGGGTAAGTCACCTCCAAAATTGCTTCCTGCTGGTCTCAGCCTTTTGGAAAGCCCCTTCCAAAGCAGCTGCCAAGCCCTGAGGAGATGCTCTGAGCAGCCCAGGACAAGCTGGGTGCTGTTTGCTGCCCAAGGATCTGCTCCCATGCTCCTGTGTGTCTGTCTAAGCCAAGAACTAGAAGGGGTTTGGGTTTTGTTTCTCATTCTCGTGGCATAGCAGATCTCCCCGCAGCATGGAGCCGTCTGCTGCAGGGCACCGGGGTGTTTAGCATCTGCTTAACATTTCTAATTGTTTTCATGTTCAGTGCCTGATGCTGTCTTTTTAGATAGAAACAGGAGGGATTCAGCCATCCCTCCCTCCCTGCTTCCCTCCTTCTCCTCCTTCCTCCCTCTCTTCGTCCATTTCTTCCTTCCTTTTCATCCACCCTTCATCCCTGCCTCCTTCACTTGCTTCCTCCCTTCCTTCTCCTCTCCCTCCCTAAAAATTTACTGATTTCTTCCTTATTACATTCCTAAAAGCCCCATTCAGTTAAAGGCAGCAGCAAGCAAGGAGAAACTCAACGATAAGGGCAAAAACAACAGTAAAACTGGAATGAAATGACACCATAAACCCAGTACCAGGAGGGACAGTAAAACTGCAGTTTGGCAGGAGCCAGCAGGCCTGCACTAATAACTTTTTTTTCCTGATTAAAACACTCTGGTCACAGATTAACTTCCTTTGCTCAATATTTATTGTCTCACCTGCACTGAGAGGCAGGGAAGAGAGGAAGAGGGGTGGGCAGGACTGGGGACTCGGGATCTGCAGCAGGTCTGTGTGCAGCTCTGCAGCCATTGTAAGCTGCCTAGGACAGGGACACATTATCAAAGGTGATGAACGCACCTCCAGCAGTTACCCTCCATCACTGAGTACCACCAGTAATGATGGTACACACACCAACAGTCTCTGTGCAACAGGGCAGCATCCCAGAGTAGCATCCCAGGACTTGGCAATGGCTGCAGAAGAAGTCCGTGTAAGAGCTGGAGATGCCCTGGGTCTCCCAGGCATTCAGGACAGGGGCAGTTATGGAGACAGGCACTGCTACAACACAGTCAAGCATACTGGTTTGTCTCACTTCAGACAAAGCCCCAGCAACTCTGGGAAAACCACATCCCTTGGAAGATTGACCCATTTGTTTCAGTGGCATCAGAAAAAAAGGATGGAAATAAGGCTAAAATCCTGGCCATCTCCCTTAAGGCATCTGTACATCTCCTCATCTCCCACTGGGCTTATCACTGGCTCCTTGAGGAGCACAGGACGTGCCAGCCTGGAGCAGAAGCACCACAGCCCTTTGCTAATCACTCACAGCCCTATTAACACACCATAGAGGGAGCAAATGCCTCCACTGGATCTCAGTGCATCTTTAATGTAGTAATTCCACACTTAAGCTTCAACGCAGCTCCTCTCACTCCCCTCATTGCCTGTTCTGCTCATCCTCTCAAAACAGCTCAGGACATGGAGTGTGAAGGATGTATTCACCCTGATGCTGGGGAACTGGAGCTCAGAACGAGGGTGATCCCATTGCAGGGACGCTTTTCCTGGGATTTCCAACAGCTCCCAGGCAAAAGTTAAACATCAAGGCACATCCCAACAGGCCTCAGTTTCCCTTTGATGCTGCCAAGTCAGGAGCAACATCTGGGAGCGATAAATCTAATTTTTATCAAAAAATAAAAGAGGTAATTAATTCTCAGTCCACCTCTGATCTATTTTAGCAGCAGCTAAACTCCAGCAGCCGCTACCTGCTAGGGAGAGCATCCCAGCATCGGTACCAGCACTCCTCGGCACACACCACATCCCCAGCCTGCATCCTAAATCACAACACAACAAACAGGCTGTTCATTAGGAGCTGTTTAATTAAGCAATATGGATCCTGCCTCGATATTTACAATCCCACTTGCTCTGATTTATTAGAGAGAGAGAGTCTCGTTTTTAAAAGACGGCGACTGTAAAGTTTAATACTGCTTGACTTACTGCGAGTTTCATTTACGGCCCCGGGCCAACGCGATGCAGCCAAGGCTCAGAGCCGGTGGGCTATTAAATCACAGCTAACTGTGCATGGAAGGAGATGACTAGCATCGTTACAACTGGTTCAGCGGCTAATTATCCCAATCTGGATTCACACATTTAAGTCAATTCGTTGCCACTTTTCCAGGGCCCTGGGGAAAAGCGCGGAAGTTCGGAGGTTGGAGTGAAGGCACTTGTTGTGATGAGAAAGGCTGAGAGCTGTGATGGGGATGGCTGCAGAGCCCAGACAGACTCTGCTTATAGCAGGAGGGAAGAAAACTGTTTGCAAGAGCCCAGACTCTGAGCTGGGCACCCCACCATGCTATGCAGGGGGTATGTTGTGTACAGTGATGGCTCCAAGATCAAGGGTCTCCCCAAAACCCACCATCCCCTCCCCAAACCCCTTGGGCATGTGGGGAGGCTGAGTGGTGAGATGGCTTATGGGCTCTGGGATGGGGTGACTGGGAAAGAGGATGGGGCCAGCATGCAGGAAGGACACATCCAGCCTGGCTCTGACCCCCACACTGGCCCAGCCCTTTTTTCTGCCCCAGCCCCATGTGTAGGGATGGGGAAATGATGCACAGACAGGGCAAGGGGGGCACAGCCCTCGCCAAAAATTGTCATCTTGTAGGTAGGCGGAAAGCATTTCTCTCTTTGCAAGGTACTTCCAGCCCCCAGGAGCCCACTCACAGATTTGACAAGGCCTCATTAAAGAGTTATGAGAATGGCTCTTTAGTGACAAATAAAAGATTATTTCTGCAAAGAAAACTATGGCAAACGGCACTGTGCATCCCCCCACATCAGCTGTGGGGCATCACTGTCCAGGACCTACCCCAGGACAGTCCTGGGGCTTCCCTAGGGGAAGGGGCCGCAGTGGGGGACAGCACAGAGCTGGCTGCAGCGTCCCCCAGCTCAGTCTAGGGATGAGGTTGCTGCTGTCCCACACCACTGGTGGGCACAGGGAAGGGAAAAGAGGACAGCTCGTTGCTGCATCCCCACAGCCCTGCACAGCAGCCACAGAACCTGGAGCAGGCAGGACAAGGGCTGAACCCCGGCAGCCTCAGGCAGAGAGGAGGAAGAGGAGCAGCTCTGGAGCCAAGTATTCTCTCCAGAAGCATCCATGCAGCAAGTTTGCCAGGCCTCAGCCCTCTCCAGAAGCTGGTTAAGCCTTGGGCAGCATCAGTACTCCCCTGCTTCCCACTCCACCCAAGCCCGCAGCGCTCAGAGACAGGCTGAGAGCTCCCCCCAGGGAGGAAGAGGAGGCAACGCAGAGATAAGGACAACAGCAAGCAGCATGGGGCTGCCAGCACATCCCCTGCAGCCCCAGTGTTACTCCCCCCCAGCACTTGCGGTCCCTTCCAGAGACCCCCAAACCTCCCACCTAAGGCCAAGAGCCACGAGGGTACAGGCAGAGGCACTTTGCTTCCAGGTTTTATTGACTAGGGGGATCTGTGCTCCTCCACAGATAGGCAGCACTCCCAGTCCCACCAGTAAGACTGGAATAGTAAGGAGGGTAAGACCTTTAGTGGTGGTAGGAGCATGCTGTGGAGGCAGAAGAGATAGGGAAAGAGACAGAACAGCACCACCTGTGTGATGATGCCACAAGATTAGGACTGGAGCATCCCAACAGGCAAAACCAGTCCCTAAGTGGGGACAAGCCATGACAAGGCTCAAGAGAAGCTCGAGATCAGAGGGCTCACAAGTGATACAAGTTGCCAGGCCTCAACTCTCACCATCCTCAGCTGATTCCTCCTCCTGGCCTCATCAAGCACAGCGAGAGCTGGCTCTGCTGCTCCCCATCATGACCTCTCCTCAGCCCTCTGCTTGTAGTGCACCTCGGGGAGGCTCCTCAGGCGCTCAGCTGCCTGCGGGACACAGCACAAGGGACAACCAGCAGCCGGTCCTGAGGATGGCCCTATCACAGGACCCCCCATTCCCCACAGTCCCCCCCCGAGCTCTGCTCACCTGCTCCGGGGTGAGATCCCGCTGTGCCTGTGCCAGCATCTCATAGCCCACCATGAACTTGCGGACAGTGGCAGAGCGGAGCAGAGGGGGGTAGTAGTGGGCATGGAGCTGCCAGTGCCTGCAGTCCTCCTCCAGGTAGGGACCTGTGGGAGCTCCTGGCAGGGGTGCAACCACTTCATGAGCCCCATGGATAAGCCCCGTGGGTAAGAGGATTGTGGGGGTCCCCAACCATGTCACTCACCGTGCCAGCCCATAGAGTAGGGGAAGGAGACTTCAAAGAGGTTGTCGTACTTGATGAGCAGCCTCTTCATGATAGAGGCCAGGCCTGCAAAGGAGTGCTGGGGAATCACAACCCAAGCTGGCCAGCCCCCTCTCAGGGCAGACAGCACACCAGGCTGGAGGGGGTCAACCTCAGCACCCCTCGCCATAGTGAACATTGGTGCCAAGAGAAAGGGATGCACTTGGCAGTTCCTCCCCCCTCCACCCATGCAGACAACCCAAGCAACATGGTGGGAGTCCCCATTCCTCAACAGCCACTGCCCCAGAAGTATGGAGCACCATGTGCTTCATCACCCCAAACAGGAAACTAGTCCCTCCACCAGTACTGGCTGCACCTGGAAATCCAGCTCTTATCCTAGCAAGATGGGGGTGCCAGTTCTGTCCCCCAAGCCAAGCCCAGCAGCTAGAGGGTCCATGGACCCACAGAGCTGCCTCCTAATGAAGGCCAATCCCAAAGGACACAGAATAGGGGATAAGAACCACTCACTGTCCCTCTCTCCCTCGTGGAGGTCCTGGAGGCGGCAGACATGGCGACGCGGCAGCAGCAGGGTCTGGTAGGGCCAGGTAGCCCAGTACGGCACTACTACCAGCCAGTCCCTGTTCTCCACCACCAGCCGCTCCTGCAGGACATGGCGCTCCATGGGGACACAGGCAGCTCCAAAGCCCCGGGGATGGGCGCTCCCAGGGTCCCACTCCAGCACATATCCAGCTCCCAGGGAAGGGATACGGACAACAGGCACATCCTCACCTTCCGACGAGCCTCCTGCTCAGCGTACTCCAGCAGCATGGGCACACCATGCTGGCTCAGGTGCTGCTGCTGGGTCCGGTCCTCCAGGCGCGCCTCGTTCGGGAGGAAGCTGCTGGCCCATACCTGGAGGGGACATGGGGGCACAGGTTACCTGCACCCTGCATTTACAGGGGTGCCCCAGACACGCTGCCCATCTGCAGGTCCCGTGCTGCCACCAGGTGGAGAGTCTGACATGTGGTACCACAAGGGACAGTCATAAGGAGGGAAGGTGACAGGACAGGTATGAGGGTATCCTTCTGCAAAAAGCCCTGGCACCAGCGCGGGGGGATTCTCGTTCACATCTTGTCCTTTGGTTTATTGTAGGGTGGCCCGCAGGAACTCGCAGTTAAGGCAGGTGAGGGTGGGACAGCCTCACCTGGCAGTGGGGGTGAGGGTTGGAGCACCCCATCATCGCTCCCTTGTTCTCGAAGATCTGTGGAAGAAGAGATGCAGCCAGCAGGTTCCAGCCCCAGGGTCCATAGTGTCCCTTCACACCAGGAGAGCATCCCAAAGGAGAGCAGAGCCTCACATCCATCCAAAAGGCTCAAAGGGGCACAAGGCAGGGACAGGGACTGTCCCAACCTCAAACACTGCCAGAGCACCTATTGCTGGCCCCCTGCCTCCACCCAAGCCCCCCAGGGCAGGGAGAGAAGGGCAGCCCCCACCAGCCCCGGACCTGGACCCAGGGGTAGGAGGCACCCAGCTCGGCCGCCAGCTCTGCCCATGCATCGATGACAGCCCGGATCTCTGCCACGGACATGAGAGGCAGCGTCAGGTCCGACCAGGGGTGGAAGCACATCACCTTGCTGCAGAGGAAACACACATGGCTGGGACTGTGGGGCATCTCTGGGGACCCCCACAGTCCTGTTGGGTGCAGTGGAACCAGGGACAGGGATGAGATCCCCAAAATGCAGGTGTGTGCAGAACAGGCAGAGCAAGGAGGGGAGGAGGCTCACTACAGCTTCAACCCATTGATCCTGGCTGACATCACGGACCGGACCCCTCAGAGCCATGGATGTACTTACCACACCCCCCGGGCTGCTGCAGCTCGAAACAAGGGATGATCACTGTCACCTGGGGAAGGACAGAGAGCGAGGAAGGAGAAGATGCTGAAGGAGCACCCATGTCCCTCCAGGCCACCTCACAGCCCCCCAAGGATCTCAGCCTGGGAGTCCCCATCAACCTGCTCTCCCCCCAGAATTTACCAGGCTCTGGAGCATCAGGCTGTAGGGCCGGGAAGTCATTTGGGAATACGAAAGTGCCCTCATACTGGGGGTTCACCTGCCAGGGCAAGAGATGGGATTAGAGGGAGCCAGGGCAGTGGGGGGAGCCCGGATGCCCTGGGTCCTTGGTGGTACCTCGCCATTGGCCCGCGTCGCCCCGGGGCAGAGAGGGTTATTGGGGTCCCAGCGGGGCACATCCTCGGGGGGCGGCTTCTCCAGCTGCCCCTGCCACGGCCGCTTCACCCGGTGGGCCGATACCAGCACCCAGTCATCCCGCAGGGGGTTGTAACGAGCGTGCTGGTGCTCTGCGGGGAGACAACAGTGGGGCGTCAGGGAAGGACCCCACCATGCCCCCCAGCAAGAGGGTCTGCACCCCGCCTTATGCCCCCATCGGCTTCACCCCCTTCCCCACCCTCCTCAGTCCGGGGGGGTTCCCCGCTGCCCCCCCCCGGGCAGGGAGGGTCCCCGCAGCTCCGCCTCCCCGGGGATGCGCTGGGGGTCCGGAGGCGCCAGCCCCGGCCGTACCGCTGGCACAGAAGCTGCCGCCCCCCTTCTCCTCCTCCTCCCCCGACGACGACGGCTCCATGCCCCAGCGCTCCCGGAAGCCCCGACGGCAGCACCGCCCCTCGGCACCGGCCCCTTCCCTCCGCATCGGCCCCGCTCCGCTCCGCCCCGCCGCGCCGGCGCAGGGCCGCTGGTGGCCGGCCATGGCGTGTCGGCGGTGGGGGCGGTACCGGTGCCCGTCCCGGTGCCGGCGGGGCGGAGCGGAGCGGGGCGGGCAGCATGGTGGTGGCGGTGGCGGGGCGGCGGGCGCTGCGGGCCGGGCTGGCGCTGGGCGCGCTGGCGCTGGTGCTGCAGGGGCTGCGGGGCTGGTTGGCCTCCAAGCGGTACGAGTTCAACCCGGCCGAGATCGCACAGCTCGCACGGCACCACGCTGGTACGCGCCGCCCCTCGACGGGGCCCATCGGCCGTGGAGGGGGTGACGGGGAGCGGGGATGGGAGCGGGAGTGCGGGGGAACGTGGCGGCGCTGGGGAAGGGAGCTGTAACTGGGACGGCGATCGAGGAGGTTCCGGTGCAGGGGGCCTGGGATCATGGCGGGGATGGGACCGGGGTCGGAGAGGGGCCGGGAGGCTGGGAGTGGGGCAGCAGCATGGGTATTGGGAAGGAATCAGTACCGGGGCACAGGGACGGAGAGTGGGATGGGGGAATAGGACTGGAGGTTCGCAGCATCGCCCAGCCTGGATAGGGCAGGATCGCGGGTAAAGCGGCTCTCGGTGCTGGGGCAGGTCGGGGGCAGGACCGATCTCCAACTAGGAGGGGAGGGCTCCCCCCGTAGGACACAAGATGTACAGTGGCAGCGGTGGGGCTGCATGTCACCAGGGCAGGGCCACTGTCACCTTGCTTGGGTTCCCCATGTTGCCAAGCACGTGGGGTGGGCCATAGGTCTGGAGTGCTTTGTACTGCATGTCCTCCATCACCGTCTGGGGAGCAGCCACAGGGGATGAAAGTTGGAGAGAGATGTCTTCCCTAGGCAGACCTCTCCAAGGATGTGTTGGAACCCTGTGGCTACGGAGGGGAGTGAAGGGGGGTTCTGGTAGAGGAGGGGTTCTGGTAGAACTCTGTGCCAGGGACTCACGGTGACCCCGGGTGCTGCAGGGCTGGACCATGAGCTGGCTTTCTCAAGGATCATTGTGGAGCTACGGAAGAAGCACCCGGGCCACATCCTGCCAGACGAGGACTTGCAGTGGGTGTTTGTGAACGCGGGTGGGTGGATGGGCTCCATGTGTCTCCTGCACGCCTCGCTCACTGAGTATGTGCTGCTCTTCGGGACGGCTGTTGACACTGGGGGCCACTCAGGTAAGCAGGGGGACAGGGCTGGTGGGCAAGGGCCTTCTCTGAGCTCTCTCCACTTACTCAGATACATCTGCCTTGGCCGTGGGGTACCCAGTGCATGGAGCCCACTGGTCCTTTTATGGGGTGTGGATGCTGGAAAACACTCTTTACATGGAGACCATCCCCCCTAGTGTCCTGCAGCACGTGCAGGTCCCTGTACATGCCGTGCCGGCTGGCCAGGACTCTCCGCATCCAGCTGGCAAGCAGTGGCAGGCATTGCATCTCCCAGCACTTCAGCAGGGAGGAAGTGCCAAACACTGGAAATGATGGGGCTTAAGGACAGCAAACAGCCTGGGCTCATGATATGTGACCAGTCAGACAAGCAGCCTGAGTACCAGACCCAGCTGTACTCCTCACTGAGTCAAGGCCCTGGGCATCCTTCTCCCTGGAGGGCTGCTCTGTAGTTCAGCCCTGGACTCCGAAGCTGTCCCAGGCATGGATGCACTGAGCCAGTGCTGTCTGTCTTCCTGCAGGTCGGTACTGGGCAGATATCTCTGACACTGTCATCTCGGGGACCTTTCGGCAGTGGAAGGAGGGGACCACCAGAAGTGAGATCTACTATCCAGGTAAGTGCAGCAGCTCTCTGAGCAGCATCCACATCCTGGGGAACAGCCACTCCACTGTCACTGAGCCTCTTCCTTCCAGCTGACATAAGCCAAGAGCTCAGGATGGGGAAGTTTGTGTCCCCAGAGGCACATCCTAGCATCTCAGTGAGTGCCAGTAAGAAAAGTGAGCAAGACTGGGGAGAGGTTGGGGTGCTCAGCCCTGCAGGTCGCGATCCGAGACATCTCCTCTTTGGGCATGATGCAGAGGAGCTGCTGGGAGCCGTGCTGGTTTTGTGTGTTGGCAGGGGACACCATCGTGCACCAGGCAGGAGAGGCCACGTCGGTGCAGTGGAGCGCAGGCACCTGGATGGTGGAGTATGGCCGGGGCTTCATCCCCTCCACGCTCGCCTTTGCCCTGGCTGACACCCTCTTCAGCACTCAGGACTTCGTCACCCTCTTCTACACCCTGCGTATCTACGCCAAGGGCCTGCTCCTGGAAGCCAGTGCCTTCTTCAGCACCATGGGCTGCTGAGCTCAGCTGCCGGGGCGCCCTGCTGTGCACAGCTGGCTCCTCCCAACCTTCCTCTCCTCCCAACCTTACTCTCCTCCTCCTCTTCCTCCCTGAGCCCAGGCTCTAGCAGAGGCAGCAGGAGACCCCCCCCATGCCTTCCCTACATTGCTCTGTTGTTCCCCGTGGGCCAGCTGGGTGCCAGGACAGAGGGACTGTGGTGGTCACAGCAATACAGACCGCCAGTTCTCTTCACTACCCACCTCTTCCCCTCCTTTCAATTGGAGCCGTGTCCTGCTTTTCCATCTCTTCCAGCTGGAGTGGTCTTGTGGGATACAAACACCCCTGTGTGCCCTCGGCATGCAGCAGGAGAGGGGCTGGAGCTGTTGCTGCTCCTGAGACATCAGCAGGAGGATGCCACCCTCAGGGCAGGGTGCGCCTTCTGATCCAGAGCACCCATTGTAAAGGTCAGCTGAGAAGTTCCCATCTCCCTGGCAGTGTGCCAGGGCTGCGGGCAGCACAGGATGCTGTGTTCAGCTGGCAGCATCCCCCATGGCTCCATCCCTGCTGATGTAGGTTGGCAGCACACAGTGTCACTCTGGCAAGGGGCAGGATCTGCACGGAGACCCTTCAGCAGTGGGGGGATGCCCAGCCTCTGTGCTGGACGTCCCTCCTCGGCTTCTGTGTGTTACCTGTCCTAGGGGATAGCCAGAGCTGGAAGGGGGTCCCCTTCCCATAGTCCCCTCCCCATAGTCCCCTCCCTGCAGTCCCCTTCCAAGGTGGAAAGCCACCGTCTGTCGCCTTAATGGAGAGCCCGTTCTGTGTGGCCTCAGGGCTATGCACATACCTAGTGTCTGCATGTGCCCAAACCTGTCGTTGCTCAGGATAGGATTTTGCCCCTCAAAACGCTTCCCCTGTTTGTGAGACCTTCTCTGGGGACAGCCACCCCTATTGGCTGCTGTTGTGGGGTCCCAGCCAAGGGAACGCTGCAGGCCCTGACCAAGCCTGTCTGCAGACCCTGATTGCAGCCCTGCAGCCAGACCTGTGTGGGTTCACTGCTTGGTGGAGTGCTTTCACCTCCATGCTGTTGCCAAACACGTGTGTGTCTCTGGCCACCAGTCCTGTAGCATGTCTCTTCCTGCTCCCCAGACTGTCCCTGTCCTGCTGACTTGCAGCCCTGCACATGGGCTACATTTAATTTGCCACCCAGAAGGAAGTATCGGTAATAAAACTGTTCATCCCAATTGCTTGGGTCCCTGAGAGAGTCTGTGGAGCATGCTGAGCCCCTGCCATGGGGAATGGCAGCCAGCTCTCAGCTCAACAGGGGTCCTGCTGGGTGTGCCTGGGGAAGCCATCAGCATCCCACCTGGGGTCCTGGGAGCTGGGGGTATGGTGTTGGGCAGTATCAGCCCCATCTCTGCTCCCAGAGACTGGCAGGAGATGGTGCTGTTACTCCTCTCTCCGCTGTAATTGCTGGGGATCAAAAGCCTGCAAGGTTGCCAGGCCTCTGCTTCCATGGGGGACCCGAGAGTAGGGGGGTTCCATCCTGCTCCAGTACTGGCCATGTGGCCGTAGGGGCGGATGGAGCCACATTTGACAGGTTGGCGGTTCCAAGAAGTGTACATAGACACCTACATGGGTTCACCACCTCCCAGCATGAGGGCTGCACAGGAGGAAAACACAGTGTATAGGCTCCGTGTGTGTGCGTGTATGTGCGCGTACATGCAGACAGGTCACACTTGCACATGTGTGCATGTGTATTGGGCATGCGCATGTGTTATGCATATAGATGGAACAGGCGGGGATTGCATATGTGTGTACCTAGGTAGAAGAATTAGGCATCTGTCCATACAGTCAGATTAATTGCACGTGTGTGAGTGCTTGGACACAAGTGTGTAGGACAATTGTGTATGCACATGTGTGTGGGCAGAACAGTCTTGTGCCCATGCAGGTGATACAAGTGAGTGCACACGTGTATGCACAGGGCCCACAGTGTACAGACCGTAAGGACATACGTGTGTGTGCGTGTGTCCCCATGAGCAGACCGCATGTGCACACATGCGTTTGGGCAAGCTCCATGTGCACACGTGTGTGTGTTCCCGTGGGCTGCAAGGACACCTGGCCCCATGCCATGCCCATTCCCTGGGGTTTAGCAGGGCACAGTCGAGGAACACGAGCAATCCCGTGCTGGCCCACACGGGAAGGAGCTAACTCAGCAGCTCGTATCAATACTGCTCCACTTACAGCGAAGGCCGCGTAATGAAAATCCGATGGGCACGCTGGTGGGAGTAAATAAGTATGCCATTAAAATGAGAAAATCAAAGGTCTGGACAGGTCTTTTCTCTTGCCCATTGATTTCTTTTATTACGGAAATATTGCTGCTAAATAACATTAGTGTGAACAATCTCAGCAGTGTTTTCTGTAGCGCCGGTGTCAATAACTCCATCACGGGTGGGGGATCCCCCCCAGCCTGGCTGTGAGGGCAGCTGTCCAGGCAGAGGGCTTCTCCAGGGGTACCTCACCATCCCCAGCTAAGCTGGGAGGTGCACAGCAGAGAAACCAGCTGACATGGGGTGGCTCTGGCAAGTGCCACCAGCATGAAGCTGGGCTGGGATGCAGGAGTCCCAGCTGCTTTGCTGCAGCAGGAGGGGTTGTCCCCATCCCAGCACCAAGCAGGGACAGTGACAGGTAACCAAAGGTCCCAAAAAGCAGCCTTTCCCTTCAGGGTGGGTGGTTGCAGCTTGTAAAGGATCACATAAGACAGCCCAGTGACTAGCAGAGAAATGGGTCCTTAACACAGCAGGCTTTTGCTATCTCTGGCCCTTTCTCCCCATTCCACCTCATCCATGCTGGACTGACCCAGCTCCCTGCTGTTGACACACAGGTACCCAGCACCCTTCAAGATGCCCGCAGATGGCAGGAGCATCCCTGCTGGACTAGAGGATGTGACCAGGATGGTGGGAGATAACACGCCCTTTGGCACCCAGGTGTGACCCCAGGGCACCTCAGTGGATACCACCCCCTGCGGGTGGCTGCAGATGGGTAGGGATATCGCCACAGGCACCTGCACCATGGGTCCACCTCTGTCCCAGCCACAGCTGAAGTGACCATGAGTGGCATCTCCCTGGAGCCATCACCAGGACAAATGCACATCACTGCCCAGCAAACACTTTCCTCCTGCAGCTCACTCTATCTTGCTGTCCCTCTACTTGCAGTGGGTATTGATCAGCCCACAGGATCTATCTCCCAATCCCTCCTGCGGTATCTCTCTGCTCCTAGTATCTCTCACTCTGCTCCGCTGTCTGCTGTGCCTGTCTGTGCCTCCAGTATCTATCTGTGCCGTCTCCACCACAGCCATTGATAGCCATTTGGGGGATTTCTCTTTCTTTCCAGCCAGGAGCATCACCAGACCACAGTGGTGCAAAGATGCTGAGCAGAGAGTGGAGAGAACACAGACGGTCCTGCTTGCTGCCCAAGGTAGAGGCTGAGCATGGACACACTTCATCGCACACATCCAGAGCCCCAGAGCCACTGTTGTCACTCTGGAGGCTCTAGGGAGGAAGCAAGTCATGCTGGTCCAGCAGGGCCAGCTCCCTTGATGGCCATGCGCAGGTCAATGGGACAGACTGCACCCTATGCAGACCCCAGTGTTGTCACTAGCCAGCCCAGCCACATCCTCCACCACATCCTCCACATTGATCCAAGCACCCCAACCCCTCTGCCTTGGAGAAGTGGAGATCCCCCAGATGCCTGGGCTCCTGCTGGGCCATGGAGAGTCCCATCACCATCACCGCACCTGACTCAACCTGCTCAGCCTCCAGCCCCAGCTCCCTCCTCAACCCATTATGCAACAGATGGGGCACAGAAGAGGATGCCAGCACCCTGAGGTGCAACACAGCAACACTGGAGCCATGTGTGATGGGATCCCCTGGGAAAATCCCAGGGACCTGGGGAGCAGCTGGTCCTCTGAAACAGGGCCAGGTCCTGTCTTCCCAGGGGCAACACAGCAGGAACGTTGTCCAGCCACCAATAAACATGCTCAGAGGGGCTGGCAAGCACTGGGAGGGCCTTAGCCCTGCCTAAACGAGATGGGCCAGTGCGAACTACAGCTGCCCAGCCCCGAAATGGGATGGCTGACAGCTAATTTATCTCCTGCGCAAAGATAAACAGAGCCCGGGGGCCCCGCGGGGCCGGGAGCTGCATTGAGTCCCGGGAAGGAGGCTCATTTTTCCACAAGAGCCTCTCTGGCGAGGATGCTGCTCCATGCCTGGTGCTGCTGCATTGCCATGAGCTCAAGGAGCCTCGGGAGTCACCGGCACCATGGCAGGATGAGGGGCAGCTTCTCCACAGATGCTCAAAAGCCATGACCTTTCCCCACAGAGGGGTGCAGTGAATGGGGCAGAGGCTCATCCCGGGCTGTGGAGCCCAAGAGCAAAGCCAGCTCCTGCCGTAGCTGTGGCCAGTGGCTGTTTCCACAAGATGTCCCAAGGAAAACGAAGGACTCAGCTCACACCAGCTGCCCCTGCAGCATGCAGGTAGTCCCAGTGGGGACAGAGCCAGCAGCTCTTGGCACCCAAAGCCTCTATCACCCCATGCCTCTAACACCAGTGCAGCAGTGTGAGGTCTTGGTGTTAAGTTGATGGTGGGAAAGGGCTAAAGCTTCTGTCCCTTGTGTCCCAGTGTTGCAGGATGATGATGATGATGCTCATCCACAGGGATCTATGCAAGTCCTGCAGCTGCACTCGCATAAAAAGCCCAGGGAAGAGCAGGCACCTCCTTTACCTTCTGCCAAAGTTGCCTGCATAGAAAAAGGGGTCAGGAGAAAACTGGGAGGCAGGCAGGTGGAGACGGAGTGTGGGGACATCACGGGATGTGACTGTGGCTAAAGCCCTGTGCTTCCCCAGGGGCTTTGGCCCTCCTGGGGCCGTGAGGTGCTGTGGGTGCATCAGTGGTCAGGCTCATCCCATGCTCATCCCAGCTTACACCCTCATCTGATGTCTGGAGGCATGCTTGATGGTACCTGGTGCCTCAGTTTACCCCGCTGCAAGGGCAAGCCAGCAGCACTCAGCACCTCCAGTGCCAGAGGAGATGCATGGCCTCTTCCTGCCCATGCCAGGCAGGGGCCAGGGCTCTGGGATCCTGTTTTTTTTTGCAGTCTGACCCCAACCAAGGTACAGTCACACACAGCACCCCTCAGGAGGACCCCTCAGAAGCTCCAGCATGGGGTGTGCTGCCATGATCTATGTACTCGTACAAGCACTTATTGCTGTCCCCAACAACATGCATACATGCACACGCACACACTGCACGCATTCGGCCCCTCTGACAATGCACATAGCTGTACAGATCATAGAATTATAGAATCAACTAATCTGGAAAAGGCCTTTAAGATCATGAAGCCCAACTGTCACCTCAGCACTGTCAAGTCCACCACTAAACCATGTCACCGAGGGCCTCATCTACACCTTTAGTGAACACTTCCAGAGACGGTGACCCCACCACTGCCCTGGGCAGCCTGTTCTAATGCCAAAGCACCCTCTCGGTGAAGAAATTGCTCCTAATATCCAGTCTAAACCTCCCCTAGCACAGCCTGAGGCCATTTCCTCTTGTCCCATCACTTGGTACTCGGGAGAAGTGACCATGAAGCAGCCCTTTGGGGGGAAGGATGCCTCCAGAGATACTTGGACACATACACAGCATGTACAGACACAAAAGCAGTGCACGCTCCTGGTGCGTGTGCACAGATTCCCCTTCAGACACACATGCATTACGTTCACCTCTCCCAGCGCACATGGACACATGCAAGCTCAGACAGCCTGCACACATGCATGTGGTGGATGCTGGGCTGCCCAATGTGCACACATTCACCTATGCAAGCACCTACTGACTGCACAAACACACACTGCACTGTTTTCTCCCAGCACTCACAGGTATCCACACATAAACCCTCTGTGTATGTGTGCAATGGGTTCAGCTCTTACACACGCATTTACAGACCCCTTGCACAAGCCCCTACACAATCCTCTCTCCCCATACATACATGCATGCACCCCTGGACACCCTACACACTCCCTATGCACTTCCCTCTCCCCATGCATACATGTATACCCCGCACACCCCCCTATGCTCTCCACTCTCCCAGTATATACTCATATTCACCTCTGAACACCCCACTATGAACTCCCTTGCATACACAAACCGCTTCCACCCAGCCCCCTGCACCCCCTGCCCCTTCCCCTCCCGCGGACCCGGTCAGGGCTGCCCGACCCGGCTCCCAGCAGACCGGTCCCCGAGGCGATCCCGCGGGGCTGCCGCAAGCCCGGCCCTCCCCGGATGACTCCCTTGACGTGCGTTAGCAAATGGGAGCGGGGAGGGGTGTTGCTGCCTGCGTGCCACTTGTTGCAAAAGAGAGGAGAAAAAAAAAAAAAAAAAAAAAAAAAAAAAACGAAGAAAGAGAGAAAGAAAGAAAAGAGGAAAAAAAATCCCACCCACCCTCATCTGCTGCGGAATAAAAGAAATATCGGCGGGCGCGGCGCCATGTGAGCGGCGGGCCGGGACCGGGCGGAGCAGCCGGCCGTGCCCCCCGGGACGGCGGGGCGAGCCCCGGGCGGCGCTCGGAGCCGGCGGCATGGTGGAAAACCCCAGCCTGGCGGCCAAACCCGCCCTGGTGAGGGACGGGACGCAGCGGAGGGGCCCCGGTAGCGCAGGGGTGCGCGGAGGGAGCGGGGTGGGGGCACCCCCGGTTGAACGGGGAGCGGGGTCCCCGGTGGGAGCGGGAGGAGGGTCCCGGGAGGAGAGGGCACCGAGGGAAGAATCTCCGGTGGGAGCGGGACGGGGTTCCCGGAGGGGCGGGGACGCCGCGCGCTCGACAGGAGACGGTTCCCGGTGGGACCGTCGGGGCGGAGGTCTCCAGTGGGACCGCGGAGGGGGTCCCCGGTAAGACCCGGTCCCCGGTGGAACCGTGGCGGGGGGTTCCAGGAGAACACGGGCTCCCATGCGGAACGCGGAGGGGGGCTCCCCGCAAGACAGCGACGGGGATCCCGCGTCGGAACTATTCCCGGTGGGAGCGGGGAGGGTGTCCCCCCGCGGAGCGGGGATGGGGTCCCGGAGGGCTGGGTCCCCAGTAGGGCAGAGTGCCGGGCGGTCCCGGCGGGACGGGGAGCCCCTCCGGCTGCGGGTACCGCGCCCGGTGTGCCGGTGGCTCCGCCGCCAACTTTTGGGCAGGGCCCCCGGGAGCGTGGGGGAAGAGCGGGTGGGGTGGGGGGTGCTTCCTCCCTTCCCTCCTCCTCCTCCTCCGGCGGCGGCGGCAGCGCTGAGGCCGTGCCCTGTGCCCGCAGCCGGCCGCCCCTCCGCGGGGGCCGGGGCCGGCGGGGGGGCTGCGCTTGGCGGCGGTGATGGAGAGCCTTCAGCGGCAGCAGGCGGCCCGCCTGGCCCGCGGCCCCGACGGCGCTCCCCGACGGCCTCCCGCTGAGCCCGGTCCTGGCCCCGGGCCGCTGCCCGCCGCCCCTCGCCGCCGCCCGGTCCCCGACCAGCGCCCGCCGCCCGCCGCCGCTGGGGAGGAGGAGGAGGAAGAGGAGGAGGAAGAAGAAGAGGAGGAGGAGGAAGAAGAGGTGCCCCGGGAGCCTCCGCCTCCCCCACACCACGAGTGGACCTACGAGGAGCAGTTCAAGCAGGTAGGAGGCATCCGCCACCCCAGCATCGGCTGCTCCAGGCAGGCATCCCTGGTGTCCCCCATGAACTCAGGGTTCAGCCCTCCCTGAATGGATGCTGCTTATACCCCCCACTACCCACTGTTTGTGTCCCACCCTAAATGTGCAGCCCCACTGTCCCAAGCTTCATCCCCATCCCACCCCAGGCATCTGTTCCCCCAGACGTTATGCCACCCTAAATGTGAACCACCCAGGCTCCCTCCACTGCCCCCAGACCTCACGCCAGGCAAGTACAGTCAGTGCAACCCAGCATCCCTGTCCCAGAGCCCCTTTCTGCCCCAAATGGGTACCCACATAATACTCCTCATTGGCCCTGTCCCTGAGCCGTGTCCCACTCCAACAGGCATCTTCATGTGCTCTCCATCTCCCTGCCACCGTCTCCTCCATCTCACGCATACTTCATGTCCTCCATCTCTTTGGTGTCCTCTGTGCCTGTCCCCATGCCCCACAGCATGACAGTGTGCCCAGTGTCCAGCCGCCTGGTACCCTGTGCCCACTGACCCATGCAGGCTCCATCCCTGATGCTTTCAGTAATGGGTAAAACAGTGTCCCCTGTCCATGAAGGTTTTTCAGAGACAAACAAGGGCAAAGGCTCTAGTGCATGGTTACCCCAAGGAGCTGGCTTGCCAATGAGCCGAGCTCCTCTGTGTTTCTGTGAGGACCAGGGTATATTACGGGTGGTCAGTGTGGCACATTGATTTCTCATACTGGCTGGAGGAGGCCATGTGTCAACCCTGTCACCTCACTCCTTGTGAGTGTAGGGAAGAGTCCCATGCCATTGAGATCTGGTGCAGGGAAAAGGCTCTGGGGGCTTGCATATAGGGTGAAGGAAAGGCCTGTCTGTATTTAATGTGTGTTTATCCCATCCGTGCTGCCCTGGTTTGCATGCAGTGGGTGCTTCTCTGTACACGGTGTGGGTGTGGACAGCACAGCACCAGGTCGGGTTTGCGCTTCCCGTGTGCTCAGCTTGGTTGCGGGGGGGGAGAGCAGAGACAGAGACGTCCCTGAGCAGCTGGTGTGTGGCTTTTTAGGATGGCACTGCTCAGAGCGCAGTGAGGTGAGGGGACTTCCTGGCTCATCCACAGTGTTTCTGGCAGGAAGGGATGAAGACAGCAGCAGGGACCCGACTTTCGCGGGGTGCTCGGGGTCCATGCCGCTGCCTATTGTGTTGTTCAGAGGGGCCAAGGCTCATCCCGCTGTGCTGCGAGGCAGCAGGCAGGGGTGCAGGCAGGGCACGGGCAGCATGTGCCCTGTGGCTGTGCTCTGGGTAAGCTGTTTCCCCGCAATCAAGCCGGGGAGGTGCGGGCCGTGTGAGCCGCACAGCCCCAGTATCTCGTCCGGGAAGTGCTGCGTTACACCCCGCAGCGCCGAGAAAGGCTGACTGTCCGGTTCCCGGGTCAGCCCGGAGGTGGGAAGCGGCTCCTCCCTCCCCGGCTTTACGAGGTGAAAGCATCCCCGGCATTTCTCGTCCCTAAGCCTCACGCCCTGGCCCTGGCGGGGGCTGCCCTGGCTCTCCATGCGGGGCAGGAGCAAAGCCGGCAGTGCGGTGTGAATACCGGGAGGTGGATGGCAGGGGATAAATCCTGCCACCGCTTCCCAGGGTGAGAGCTGGCTTCTTCGTTGCTTGCTCTACTTTTTCTCCAACTCTGGTTGGAAAAGTGATGTATCTGTACTCCAAAGAGCCACACTGTGTGCTTCCTACATGGTGGCATATCGCAGGTGACAATGGGATGTCCCTTATGTTCAATACTCTAGGGACAAGAGGCCCGAGTGCCTCTGGATGGGAGGGGATTATATAGGATGGGACAGAGAGAGGGGAAAGGAGTTTCTAGGACCAGCCCTTCCTTGCCTTCTCGTGGGGCTGCCTCTTCTGGGGTGGCAGTTTGGATCAGGCTCCGGTGCTGGCTTGCCTTGGGGTCTGCAGGGTGTCTGTCACTCCTATCTCTGCCCTGTGATCATCTGGGAGGGGACATACCCCTGCCTGGGAGGGACGTGTCTCCCCTGGCTTCCCCCAGGCTGCAGGGCTGTGCCTTGCCCAGCCTGGGGAACAGGTTCTCTGCTCTCCGCAGGGGCTATGTTGGGAGGGTGTCCGCGCTCAGCTTTCGCAGGGGCTGTGGTGTGTGGGGCACGGAAGGCAGCGCATGCCTGGTCACAAGCTTATGGAGCACAGACAGTGTGGGCATGGGGCTGTGTTTCCCACAGGGACACCCTGGATGGCACTGCTGGCATCACCTGGGATGGGTCTGGGGTCTGTCATCTCCTGGGAGGCAACAGTTCAGTGAATGGGGACCGCCAAATCCAGGCTGGTTTGCAGAGGGTGGGTTCTCTGCAGCAAGGAGGGGGCTCTGATGGGGATAGGGTGGGAGGTTGGTGCAGGACCAGCTGCTCAGGGTTTTACACGCAGTGCTGTAGTGCTAAAAATGGGAGCAGAGGATAAGGTTGCAGCGCAGAAACCCATTGAGGGTTAACAGGCAAACACTGCTTCAACCCAGAGGAGCATTTTGGGGAAATATCCCTTGTGTTTGCCCTTGTGTTATATGTTTCCTGTGGCGCCGGTTTGGGGGGACTGGCAAGACCTTTGCTCTGATCTGGGAGGGCTACTGTGATATTAGAGGGTTGTAAGACCCCCTCACCCCTGCCTCTTGCATCAGCCCCCGGCGCCGGGCTATGTACACTTGATAAGGACATATGGGTAGAGCCCTGGGCAAAGGTCCAGGAGGTCTGCAGTCAACACTGCAAGGCAGACCTGTCCCCAGGACCGACTGGGGTCTGACTGTGCACTACCCATGAATACCCCTTCCATGGGGATGGGAATGCCACCACGTTACAATGCTGCAGTGCTGCATCATGTTTGACTTGGAGGGCACCAGGAAGAGACTGGCATTGCTGGTGCCAGCTCAGCCCCATGTATTCAGCTTTCCTCACTGGAAAGCATGCACATACATAGGGATGCGTGCCCTGGTTTCCTCCAAGCGATGGAAGAGCAGCACCCAGCTCTTCCCTTTTTATCCCCCTGCTCTTCCCAGAGGCGGCACTGTGGGAAAGATCAGGGCAGGAGGGTCTCAGACATCTGGGTTTGTGTCCCATCTTTCTGGCAGCAGAGTGTTTGCTGGCAGGAGGGTGCCATCCCTGCCAGGGCCGCTCCAGCACATTCAGACCCCTCTGGTTGCAGTTGGGGTGCATCAGTGCCCCCCTGGAGCTCCTTCCTCCCTGGCTGGGAGCAGCGGGGGGGGGGGGGGGGGGGCGAAGACCCAGCCAGCCCTTTCGGTAGCCTCAGTATTTAATATAGGGATGCAGTGGTTTGTCACCATCTTCTGCCAGCCCCGGTGTGGCTGCTCCTCCTCTTGCCACCGTGCTGCTCCCGCCCTGTCTGCCCCCGATGCCGGCAGTCACCTCTTGCACCCACTCACCCTTTATATATATTTAGTGAGGCTCATTGGCTGTGCCTCTCAAAGCCTTTAGGAAAGCGCTTTGAGTTGGCTGCAGCCCTCCTTGTGCCACAGACCTCAGCCCCATGCCTTGGGGCCATCCCAAAATGGGGTGGCAGGGTGCGTTCCACGACATCCTGTCTCTGTCCCCATTCCTTTCTCCTGTAGGGCTGTCCCTGCCTGCAGGGAATGGAGGCGGCTCAGGAGGGGGATCCTGGGAGAGGGAGGTGGTCTCCCTGCCCCAGTGTGTCCGTGTCCGTCCCCACCCGTCCCGTCCCCCCGCCAGTGCATCTTCAACCCAGCTGCAGCAGTTAACCACCGAAGGACTCCCAGAGCTAAATTAGAGGGTCTCTGGTTACAATGCGGAGCTGGGGGATGATGGACGTGGTGTTTGCTCTTGTCTGTGTCTCCCTGGAGGTTTCTCACCAGCAAACGTGCAGCAGAGCTCTGGGACCACCTGCATCGGGGAGGTGGTGGTGGTGGCAAGGGTCAGTGTGCTAATCCCCTGCAGCGGCAGCTCCGGCAGCTCCGGCAGCCCAGTACGAGTGCAGGGGCACAAGGCAGGAGCTGCTGGTGTATGGCTGGGAGTGCATACGGAGGTGTTCTCTATGTGTGTGCATATAGAACAACAGCGTATATGTGCGTGCATGTAGGGGTGTGTATGCACCATGCATGTGCCCACATGCATATGGTGTGCCCACGCATGTCTGAACATACCTGTGTGTATGTATAGGCACACATGTAGTGTCCCAGTGTGTGTGGGCACTCCTGTATGTTCATGGACCAGTGTTTCCGCATGTGAATACATGGGTGTTTGAGACAGGGTTTGGGGGCTGATCTCCCCTCCAAGACCACCCCTATGCCCCCTGCCCCAGCCCACAGTGCTGAGCAGTCCTGGTGGGTGCTCCCAGGGCTCTTCCCAGCCCCACAACAGCCCGGGGGATGCCGAGTAGCTCAGTTGCTGCGACACCGTCTCCCAAACAGTCTCAATCCCAAGCTCTTGGGACCTCCAGATAGGAGGTGTAAAAACTAATCAGAGTGGGAGAGGAGCATTGGCAGAAGCTCCCACCCTGGCTCCCTCCCAGCTACTGCCCCAGAATCGGATGTGAGGAACCTGGGGAGATGCACCCCTTCACTGACTTTGCCTCTGCTAATCCACTGTTTGGGTTAATACTGGAGGTAAATTCCATGTGCCTTAAGCACTGTGGTGGGGACATGGGATCTTGCCCCACAACATCGCCCATGGACTTTTGCAGATTCATGGGGGTATGGGAGCAAGCTCACCTGTGTGGGGGGTACGTGTGCATAGAGGTGCATGAGAGTGCAACAGGGAGAGAGTGTATAGGGAACACATGAACATGCACAGGGGCGAGTGTGTGCTGGGAAGGTGTGTTCAGGGGCTGCATGAGTGTGCCAAGTACGTACAGGGGAATGCATAGGAGATGTATGAGTATGTACACGATGATCTGTGCACAGGAGGAACATATATAGGGGACGTGTGAGCACGCACTGGAGGTGTGTATATGTGCATAGAGT